TTGATCTCTTCGGTGAGGCTTCTGGTCAGAAAACAAATATACAAAAGAGTAATGTTTTTCCCATTCAGTGTACAGAATCTGACAATGAGGTAATACAAGAATGTCTTCCCTGCCAGTCCTTGGATTTCCCATGCAAATATCTCGGAGTTCCCCTTTCCTTGTGTAAGCTGACAAGATCTCAAATTCAGCCGATTATTGATAGAATAGCGGATCAGCTCCCTGGATGGAAAGCTGATCTGTTAACAAAGGCTGGGCGAAGAATTCTTGGGCTCTTAAAGCTATTGATAAAGTTCGAAGGGGATTTCTTTGGAGAGGAAGAAAAGAAGCTAACGGTGGTCATTGTTTGGTGGCTTGGCCTAAAGTTACTTGGCCAACTGAACTTGGAGGGCTTGGTATCTCACATCTTCAGAATTTGGGATGCGCATTACGGATGCGTTGGCTTTGGCTTCAAAAAACAGAACCAGATCGTCCATGGGCAGCCTTCCCCATCCAAGTTCACCCTTCAGTCAAGGCTTTCTTCTCTATGGCCATCATCTCAGAAGTCGGGAATGGGAAGAACACGTTTTTCTGGACCGATAAATGGTTGCATGGTCAACGTTTGGCTCTACTAGTGCCTCACCTATTCAGGACAGTGTCCAACAGAGCAAAGAAAAGGACTGTGTTTGAAGCCCTTACTGAAATGAGATGGATTTCTGATATACGGCAGGGAGCATTTACAGTGGCTGTGTTGACTGAATACCTCTTCCTATGGGACCTTCTTTCAGATTTTGTACTGCAGCCAGAGGTCGAGGACTCACATACTTGGCAACTTTCGTCTTCAGGAAAATACTCTGCAAAATCTGCATACGAGGGGCTGTTCATTGGTGCAGTTCAGTTCAGACCATGGGAAAGAATATGGAAGAATTGGGCACCTGGCAAGTGTAAATTCTTCATGTGGTTGGTTGCCCATAACAAATGTTGGACAGCTGATCGCCTCGCCAAGAGGGGGCTGCCTCACCCTGAATGCTGTCCACTCTGTGACCAAGCTGAGGAGACAATCGACCACTTGCTAGTCTCTTGTGTTTTCACTCAGGAAGTTTGGTTCATCATCCTGCAGAGTTTTGGTTTGCAGCCCCTATCCCCTCAGCCTGACGACACCTCCTTTAATGACTGGTGGGAAAGTTCAGTTTCTAGAGTGGATGGTCAGATTAAAAAAGGTCTCAATTCTATCATAATTTTGGTGGCTTGGTCAATCTGGAATCATCGCAATCGCTGCGTGTTTGATGGGATTACCCCCAACCTGAATGGTGTTTTGTTGCTCATTAGAGAGGAGATACTTCTATGGAGTCTGACTGGGGCTAGAGGAATTTCTCATCTCCTCGCTCTAGTGCCAAGTGCAAACTAGGACTCTCTTTCTCGGTCGAGGTCAAGTCTTTTTTGATGTAATAGGCGAGCAGTGGTTTCTTGAGTGTGGTGTGGTGTGTGTGGTGTTGTTGTTTTTGGGTTATGGGGTTTTACACCCCCTTTTCTTCTTCTTAATATATAATGATACGCAGCTCTCCTGCGTGTTCGAAAAAAAAAAATCGGGTCGTAGCACTTAGTCAAGTCCAAGGTAGCGATTAGGAGGACTAATCATGATTAATTGGATGATTTAATAACACTGGTTGGTTATAATCAGCGTGTAGTCCCAATAAGGAGTCTGGGCTCATCTGTGAATAATTTTTTGCCCTTTTAATGATTGGTCACCAAGACACCTAGCACAAGTCCCCACCTTATCAACAAATAGGCGCTAGGAGCTACCCACGTAGTGCATATTTCTCTTATGCTCTATAGAAATTTACCTTTTTAAAAGATCAGTGGATGATCACAGATGAACAGGACACAAGAGTCAAACCTGATATTAATAGCATCAAACTACAGACAGCTATCTTACTTAAAAAGATAAAATAGAGATTTCTTGCAATACTGTACATGTTAGCATTATCTAATTTAAGTTGATGTCTCATCACAAGTACTACCTTATAACATGATTACTAAATCATATCTCAGGTTTGCCTGGCACACAATGAGTTCAAGAAACATTATTTTTTGTTCTGTCAGTTGGCAATATATATCTTATGCAAAAGACAATTACCTATGGAATGACTACAAAAAGCACATAGCAATTGTTTAGATACGAAATTGCTCCCTCCGCCCCAAAAAGGATGCAATTCTAGAGTAGTGTTAAACCAAATGATTTGAAGTTTGACCAAAATTATTATATAAAAATATACTAATATCTATCATACTAAATAAGTATCATTAGATTCGTCATTAAACATATTTTTACAGTATACCTAATTGGATTCATACATGTTAATATTTTCTATAAACTTCCTCGCTTTGCACAGGCGAGGGTAAGGCTTGCCACTGACACCCTTCCCTAGACCCCTCACAGAATGGGAGCTCTCTGCACTGGGTATGCCCCTTTAGTCAAACTTAAGATAATTTGACATTGACCAGACCTAGAATTGCATCCTTTTTGGGATGGAGGTAGTACTGAACACCGCCACTAGAGCAACATAGAAGGAAAAAAAATCATGCTATACTTTACAACAAAAGGAATGACAATTTAAGAATAACTTGCCACTTGCTCCATGATGCAAGAAGTTCTTCAACTTCTTTCCTGCTGACTGTGGTATCATGACAACAGGTATTGTCACGTTAATGGAAGTGTCAGTCTCACCGCAAACCATCTTGTAAAGCTCTAGAAACATGATACAGATTACTTTCTGTAAAAAAAACTTGCATGTATATTTGGAATATCAAACTATTTGGACAGAAAAATGAAAATACATGACACATTCTTGTTATACCTTCATTATCATTGATAACTAGTAAACCGGTCGCACCACCAGCCTGAGCAGTATTTGCTTTTTCCATGAAAGCACATTCCCCACGTGTTGCTATAGCAACTGAACTTGTTAACTACAGTGACAAGGATTAACTTAGAACAAACTTATGGAATACATGCTTTCTTTATTAGGATTATGCTGATAGCACGACCATGGGAAATAAAAAGCCTACTACTGATGGTGTTAAAGTGAAACCTTTGATGTCAAGTTGGAGCAACAGTCAATTGGATTTGCGAGGACAGCAAATGATTTTTTTGCTTCATGAATATCTCTTGGCAAGGGAGCTCCAAATTTTGCACTTAGGCCAACAACAGTTGTACCTTCAGTCCCATTCACCCAATTCTTCACCTTAACCTGGAGAAAAGCTGGAACATAAGAAAGAGAAAAGGGTATTTTGGGTATTTGAGGGGAAACAGGATCAGGGCTATTTTCGACAAAAATAGAATAACGGACCAAGTGGTACATTTCAAAGCGGTGTGGACTTTTGATTGTTTTAAAAGTGAAGTAAAAAGTATAAGAAATATGGCATGTACTGAGTTTCTTGTTACTGAATACAAAAGGACAAAACAAGTTTAGAAAACTGAAAAGATGTTCCAATTTTACTTAAATATATATGAATATTTCAAAAAAAACTAGTTTTTTGCCCAAGCAACAACCACCTAACATGATCCATTTCACTGGATCTGGGGGGTTTTGAGGGGAGTCTTTCACTGGAAATTCTGTCCAAAATCATTGAAGCATTTATCTGAGACTTGGCTGTAGGGCAAGGGGCCCTTGCCCATTAGATTGATCATGTTTCTATTTGCAGGTTTTGCTTGGGCAATTTGGACTACTAGGAACAAGATGGCTATTGAGCAAAGGTTTCCAAAAGCTCTGACTGATGTGATATATGTTGCGCTATCCTTACTGCAGAAGTGGGGCGTCTTACTAAAGGAGGCAGCGGGTTTTGCATGTGAAGGATGATATCATGAGCTGGATGAAGAGTTTTAAGCCTAGCTTGTTGGAGTCTACAGACATCTTCGAAATTTAGATTCTGTACTAGGCTCAGCACTTTGTTCTTTTGTTACTGGCTAAACTTGTATCCCCATTCTTGTATCGGTTACTATGCTTTCTTAAAAGCAGAGGTAAAACTCTTTTAAAAAAAATAGCCCACCTATTAGCCCCATGTTTGGATGGGCTAGTACTAAAAAAATAGCTGGCTAAAAATTAGTCATATGCCTGCAGACAGGCCTTACTACATCCACAAATCCCTCTACACGACCCGATCATCAGCCAGATCTCAGCATCGCACCTCTACCTACCAACTACAGGACTCCGGGAACTCCAAAACCAACTACTACCGGTAGTGACCTAATTAATGAGGAAGGGCCGCGAATCGAGTAAGCAAGGGGCAGGGGCAAAGCCATTACCAGCTGGAACTTGTTGGAGCAGCCGGGCGTCCGCGAAGTCCCCGCGTCGTCGTCGCTGGAGGCGTCGTCCGCCGCGGCGCCGCCAGCGAGGAGCAGCACAAGGAGGGCGGCGGCGAAGGGGAGGAGCGACGCGCGGTGGTCGGTCGCCATGGCGAGTTGGCGACGGGGGTGTCGCCGCTTTCTCCACGGATGGGTCCGCCGTTGCGGTGGGCAAACGGATGCCTGATGCGAAGTGTCGTCGTCGTACAAAGGTATCCCTTCCATATGAAGTTTTTTTTTTTTTTGAGGCGACCCTTCCCCATATGAAGTTTTGAAGGAGGCAGCAGTTTGCACATCGACAGTTGCCAGCTCGTCTGCATCGATGGGGTCGCAGGCCATGGCACCCTCAGTAATCGGCCCATCGGATGATGGAGGCCCATTTTCAGACACTATGGACGCCAAATCAGTCCGTTCAGCGACCACAGGGGCGGAGACCGGGTCGTCAAACCCAAAGGACCGCACAGGCCCAGCCAAGAACGCATGCGACTGACCACTCCTCGTCATTCGGTGCCGCCGCGTACTCTTTCTTCCTTCCGCTATAAACCCCAAACGGGCAAACCCTACCTGCCGTCGCCCGCGCGCAGCTCCCGCCTTCGTCCGCGCCGGCGCCGCTCCATCGCCCTAAACCCCCCTTCTATTTCCACCGGGAACTAGCTGAAAGGAGAGGAAGCAGAGGGGGATGGCGTCCTCGGATGAGGAGACGAGCCGGCTCTTCCGCATCCGCCGCACGGTGTTTGAGATGCTGCGCGACCGCGGATACAAGGTCGACGAGGAAGAAATCAATCTCGCAAGGAACGTGTTCATCGATCGCTACGGCAACCCCGTCCGCCGCGAAGACCTCGCCATGAGCGCTGTGAAGTTGTCGAACGGTTCCTCCGACCAGGTCCCTCCCCTGTTCCGCTGCTCCCCCATACGCCGCCGCCGCCGCCTCGGCGTAACCCTAGCCGTGCGTTACCCCTGCAGATCTACGTGTTCTACCCCAATGAGGCAAAGCCCGGGGTGAAGACGATCAGGAGCTACGTCGAGAAGATGAAGCAGGAGAACGTCTTCGCTGGCATACTCGTCGTGCAGCAGGCGCTCAGCGCGTTCGCACGCAGCGCCGTTCAGGAGGTCTCCCAGAAATACCACCTCGAGGTCTTCCAGGTCCACTCTCTAATTTCTCTTTACTTCATTGCATTGGTATATCTCTATGTCAGTATGTGCGCTGCTCCTTGCGAAAACTGTGGCTGACTCTTATTGTGATGCTGTCCAGGAAGCTGAACTTCTTGTCAACATTAAGAACCATGTCCTAGTGCCAGAGCACGTGGTCCTGACACCAGCAGACAAGAAGACTCTTCTAGAGCGGTACACCGTGAAGGAAACCCAGGTCGAATAATTTTGCCTATTCTTTCCTCAGAGTAGCCTGGCTGTTTGTGTCTATTGGAGCATAATGATTCTAAAATTTGTTTTGTGTTCAATTCTTTCGGTTAAGGTTTTATGTACAGTGATTGCATAAAACTATGCCTGGGTCTGCATATTGGGAAGTAATTGCCCTCCCATGATTTTCCTGAAGCAATAAGTTGCTGAGTATTAAGCCATTTTCAGCTTGTTTGCATGCTGTAGCTTGTTAGCATGAATGTCTATTTGATTTTAGCTACCTCATTGGGAACTGACAAAACGCATAAATGTCCATTTGATTTTTTAGTTACCTACCTCATTGAGAACTGGCAATGTGAATGTGTTCAGGCCAAATTGACAATCTGCAGTAGTTATCATCTAAACAGCAAAAAGAACATGTCATGTGTTATGGTAAAATATGAGTAGAGATTGAAAGCACTGGTCTGCTATATAAGTTTGAACGTTTAGTTAGCCTTGTGACATAAGAATAGACCTATGGCATGCACATTTTTCAGTTTGGCTTCCTATTTGTTTACCCAAATTGTGAAGAGAATAAGTCAGACCATAGCTAGCCTTATTGGTTTTGTTACTGCAGTTAATTTCATTGCAGATTAGGACCGTTAACTACTCTATAACAAGAGTTGTGTATAATTTCAGACTTTAAGTAGAGTGATAAACTATATATGCAAGATGTTATCTGAAGCACTACAGTGCTAAAATAGGTGAGAATGGGAGGCACTAACTGTGGTAATAAAAAATCTATTGAGGCAGAAATATATTTTTAAACTCAGAGTTAGTTTAAACAAGTTATGCAAATTTGTAATTGGAAAATTATGCTTTCAGATGTTATTGGTACTAGTTTGACTGATAATTGATTCCACTGCATATCAGCGGTTAGGAGGCGTGTAAATATCTTATGCGTCCAAGAGACTAAATGGAAGGGGCAGAAGGCGAAGGAGGTGGACAATACCGGCTTCAAGCTCTGGTACACAGGGACAACTTCAAATAAAAATGGAGTAGGAGTTTTGATTGATAAGAGCCTCAAGGATGGTGTGGTGGAGGTGAGAAGGCAAGGGAATAGGATCATCTTAGTTAAACTTGTCATTAGTGATATAATCTTAAACGTAATTAGTGCGTATGCCCCTCAAGTAGGCCATGATGAGAGTGCTAAGCGGCTTTTCTGGGAAGACTTAGATCGCTTGGTTAGAGCTGTCCCTAGTAGCGAGAAGCTCTTTATAGGAGGTGATCTTAATGGCCATGTAGGTATATCAAGTGCAAGTTTCGAGGTGGTTCATGGGGGTTTCGGATATAGTAGTAGGAACCAGGAGGGAGAGGAAGTCTTAGACTTCGCCATAGGTTTTGATCTGATGATAGCTAACACTTTCTTCCGTAAGAGACCGTCTCATTTAGTGACCTTTAGTAGCGGCCAGTACTCTAGTCAAATCAACTTTGTCCTTACAAGAAGGAGGGATAAACGAACATGCGTGGACTGTAAGGTGATACCTGGAGAATGTGTGGTCGCTCAACACAAGTTAGTGATGGCTGACTTCTGCTTTCTGGTGCAAGCTCGTGGGAACAAACAAGCTAGGGTTGCTAGAACGAAGTGGTGGAAATTAGAAGGGGAGGCATCAAAGGTCTTTAAGGAAAAGGTCATTGAAGAGAGCCCTTCGAATGATGAAGGCAATGCAAACAGCATGTGGGAGAAGATGGCAACATGCGTTCGGAAGGTTGCTTCAGAGGTGCTTGGAGTGACCAAAGGGAGCGGATGCGACTCGAAAGACACTTGGTGGTGGAATGAAGATGTGCAAAAGGATATTAAGGAAAAGGAGTGCTATAAGCGCTTGTATCATGACAGGTGTGCAAACAATATAGAGAAGTACAAGGTGGCAAAGAAGACTGCAAAACAAGCGGTGAGTGAGGCAAAGGGGTGGGCCTATGAGGACCTTTACCGACGTTTGAATATGAAGGAAGGAGAGAAGGACATTTATAGGATGGCTAGCGCTCGCGATAGGAAGACAAGGGACTTCAACCAAGTCAAGTGCATAAAGGATGAGAGGGACCAGTGCATTGTGGAGTCCTAAGCCAAGCTAATAATATGAGGAGAGGTAGAGGAAGACCGAAATTGACATGGGGAGGCAATAAAAAGAGATTTGAAAGTTTGGGATATACCTAGAGATCTATGTTTGAATAGGAGTACTTGGGAAACAGCTATTGAAGTGCCTGAACTGTGACTTGCGGCTCTTGGTGGGTTTCAACTCTAGCCTACCCCAACTTGCTTGGGACTGAAAGGCTATGTTGTTGTTGTTGTTGATATAATGTTAGGCGGAATAACCACTATTATCCTTGAAGTTTCACGGGAGTCTCAATTCAGCCTCTGGAAGTGAAGTTTCTATTGGTCCACTTCCTTGAGTCGCTCCCTTGAGCTATCTTCTTTCTCCAAAATAATCCCTGTGATGACATGGACACCACATCTACAAGACAACTCAGAGTATAGCCACTAGCCACATGTGAAATAACCTACTGTTGTGATGTCTGCACACTTAACAGGTATATAGAATGTTAATCTGACAACCTTCTATGCTATTTAATCATTTGGAAAATAAATTTGATAGCCTATCTAATTATCTATAGTTGGGTAACGGTATGAACAAGATATGTTTGAACCCAAGCAATTTGTATGCTGCACTTATTTGAACAATCGTCATCATTATTGATTTATTGTTTCTAGACATCTGTATTCCCGTTTGCTGCTTCAATCTGCATCTTTTGTCCCTACAGGGTAGGAGCGTGGCGTGTAGCTTGTCTAGCTCTAGCGGCAGTAGCGGATTAAACTTTTAAAAAGAAAAGAACAAGTGTTTTCAGTTTAGGTTTATTTCTCCTGTCTGTAGATTTCATATGGACAAGAACATTTTGCATACAATTTATGACCTACTGTTGAGTTATCTGTACACATGGAGCTCCATGTCATCCCAAGCACTATTTTGGACCAAAGAAAATCGTTCAGGGATCAGAATGGACAAACCAAAACCTCAGGGACTAGATTGGCATCCAAACTTAAGGGACGATAGAGGCTATTCTGCCATAATGTTGACGATGAACAGTACTGACCAAGGGTGAAACTAGGGGTGACTTGCAGTAGCGATGGCCCTGCCTCTGCCCTCTCATGGTCCAATGTTTTCGTTACAGACCCTTCTATCAAATAAAATCATACGCTGTAGCTTAGTTTTTAACCAAAGTGATGTACCTTAATTAGCAGCCAGTACCTTGTAGTCCTGGTTCTGCCCCTGCAAGTGATCTCATTTGCTTGGGGATTTTTCTTTTCTCTAGGCAACTGGTTTTCTAATTTCATGATGTTCACGGTTGAGTTTGGCTAGTGTCAGACACCCCTTTCACCTAGTTGCACTGTCTTACTTTCATCGAGCTTTACATTTCTAATAACAAGGCTCTGCTCTGTGATCAGAAAAAGAAACAGATTCCTTGCGCCATAGATTCCTACTCATATCACTATTCCTGCCGATGCTTTGTGTTCTGATGATATGAAACTATCTATGATGCAGCTCCCCCGGATTCAGATTACAGACCCGATAGCAAGATACTATGGGATGAAGCGTGGGCAGGTCGTGAAGATCATCCGAGCCAGTGAGACTGCTGGAAGATACATCACCTACCGCTACGTTGTCTGAGTTTTTGCTACATTCTCATGGCTTGAGCTTCCGCACCAAGTGAAAATACCCCCCTAGTTGCCAATCTAGCTGTGTACTTTGAAACATTCGTTGCCGCTGAGAATCCGAAGTACCTTCGTAGTGCACTGATGCTCTCCCTTGAGAACTGATTGCCGTTGTGCCATTTTGGCAGTAGAAATAGGTTGCTGTTCCCATAGCTCTGTTACATCTCATTTTAGTGAATCATTGTGCCGTTTTTAGAGGACAAGCTTTGACCTGCACAACTTCCGGTTACCAGGATTCTGCTCTGTATTAATTTATGCCCTCCGGAGCTGGTTTTCAGTCTGATGGATGACGAAGATTCTCGTTTCTGAGATGCAGGCGCGAGGGAATATGTATGCGTAGTCCTGAGCTGTCTGTTCCTGTCAATGGTTGAGTAGTGCTCCATCTGTCCTAAAATAAATACATATTTTTTTTAAATTTTCCGATAAGTTAAATTTTTTAAAAGTTTGATCAAATTTATATAAAAATGTACTAAAATTTTTTATACATAATAACTATCATTAGAATGAGTATGAGTATACTTTTATAATAAATTTATTTAAAGATATAATTGTTGATATTATTTTTTATATATAAAGTTAAACTTAAAAAAGTTTGATTATTCAAGAAGTGAGATGAGCATTTATTTTGGAAGGGAATATCTAAGCAGTGTGGCAGTGCGCGTTTCCTTTCAGCCTAAGTGCCAATTGAATAAACGACTGTTTTCAAAAAAAAAGAATTGAATAAACGACTCCTTGAGCTGCGACCGAACGATGACATGACATGACACTACTACGGGCCTGATCGCTTGTTTGAATTCTGGATGGTTACGAGGAAGAATGTTGGAGGAATCTGTGAGAGAAAAATATTATTCTAGATAAAAAAATAAATGGATCAAGTCGAGTTTAAGAGCACGCGAACGGGGCCTAATAAGAGAACAAACATGCCAGTACGTTTCCACTTTTCCATCCTGATGATTTGGAGAAAAATAGCTTAGCCTTGTTTAATCAAATCTAAGTTTTTTAAGATCAATTTTCGAACGCATGTATAGAGTATTAAATATAAGAGAACAAACATGCCAGTACGTTTCCACTTTTCCATCCTGCTGTTGATTTGGAGAATCTCTAGCTTAACTTGATTCACATTCTTTCTCACTACTCGAACATTCCAATTCCATACGGTCATCGTTCTTTGGTAATAACCTGAGGGGCTTGTCGACGTTTCTGCTGCCTCGTGCTCTAGGAAAGCGAGATATTTATTTCTATGGCCCTGTTCATTTATCTAATAATTCATACTTTTTTGCTTATCTTTTTAGTCGAAATAATATTTTTCTCTCACAACAAATCAGCCGGAACAGTATTTCAGCTTGTTTTTTTCAGTGAAACGAACGGGACCTATATAATACTCCATTTGTCTCAAATTATCTGTCGTTTTCTGTTTTCGTATCACAAGTTTGATTCAATTTATAGAAAATACGTGCAACATCTATATCTTTAAATAAATTTATTAAAAAATTAGATTCAAATATCTTTTCAATGATATCAATTATGTGCCATAAATATTAATATTTTTTAATATATATTTTATTAAAGTTGTTTCTCCGAAAACAAAATCGATAGATATTTTAGGATGGGGTACTAGTGCAGTTGTCAGAACCACACGGCAAGAATTGGGTGGATGTGGATCGATCCGCCTCAAATGCCTCCCGGAAAGTCGCTGCCGGAGAAAAGAAGCCCTACTCGCTCAAGTCGGTCAACGACGCCAACGGCGGCGACGGCGACGGCGATATGCCCCTCCGGCTCCCGCGTCCAAGCGCGACCGGCCATGGGGCGGGGCGCGGTCGATGTGTCGTTCGTCGCTCGTATCATCTGCCCAAAGAATATTCATTCAGATCGCAACAAGGGGTTCCCGCTGTCCTGCTGCAGACTGCAGAACCGCAGGGCAAAGTAGGACCAGCCGTGGAAAAGTCTCGAGGACTGAGCGTAAATCCCACCCACGTGCTAACTAACCAGAGAAAAAACGGCACTGCCTAAACAGTAACAGCCTTGCACTTGCACCGCGGTAAAATTAAAAAGAAAAATGTTGAGGGAGAGCCGGAGATGAGCCGACACGGAACGCCAACATATCCCTGGTGGTTCACTATCATGCCACTATTAAATCGTGTAGGCCACGGGCTCGTACCCATCATGTGCATTGCAGGGTTCAGGTCACATGTTGTTGGTCTATCAGGCCAAAGGCACGATCATCACACTGCAGACGAGACTATCCACGGATGCCTTGCCAGCTGTTGAGCTCACTCAACAATTCAGAAGCTACAGGCTACACAACCCAGAACCAGATGTTTGCACTTGCAGAGCCCTGATTTCAGAGGGAGCTATGCTAAGCACTTGCAGAAGAAAGGAAACCCAACGAGATGATACTTACAAAGACAGTCGACAATCAAATGAGTGATTTTTCACAGGGCGTCAATACAGCACATTCAAGTTTCAAGATTGGGAGGCAACTAGACGCTACTGCTCATCTTCTAGCTAGGGAAGCATCGACAGGTGTAATCAGGGAACCCTTTCAGCTCCTAGCAACTCGCTGCTGTTAATAAACATCGTTTCTTGTCAAAAACAAAATGACTGGTTTTTTACCACTACTAGCTTAGTAGCTTTGATCGGAAAAGGTGTTCGTTGGAGCTGTTTTGTCTTGAGCGGTAGCCATTCGCTAGGCGCAACATGCTCTTCTCAATGCAAGACAAAACAACTGGTAATAAATACTCTAGTACAAAGGTAAAACTCTCGCGAAGTCTAAAATATTGCGGTGTCACTTCAGTCACATTTCAAATTTTGTCCTGATTTAACTACGCGGGTAGTAACAGACTAGTTAAGGCACCGAGTGGCCCTCGCTATCACTGGTGAGGTCAAATTTAATTTAGCTGTGGATGATGGCGACAATTATACGTGGATTGTCATGTGCGCAGGGATTGATTATTCTTTGTTTTGTCACAGAGAGCTGACTTTCAAATCAAAGAAAGCATAGACTGCTAAAATAAACCAAATCGAAGAAAGCATAGACCGCTAAAATAAACCAAGACAGACGGCAAGATAAGAAGACTCCACCAGTATACCACCAGCTTAGAAAATTAGCTGAAAGAACTAGTACTCCTACAAAAAGGTGATGGTGAAAGTTCCATTCCCCATAGCTGATGCTTCCAAATAGAAAGTTTAGAATATAAAGACCAAGCCACGATTAGATGTTCCAAGGTTCAGATGTGTATGTATAGCACACGGTTAGCTACTTTTTGAAGCTCAAACATTTAAACAGAACATTTCTAGCTACAGATGCAAAGCTCATAAATATGCCGCTTATGAACAGTAGTATAAGCTTAAGAGATAGTAGAACATTTTTAACTACCCAGGACCTTGCTAACGTTAACCGCTAAGTTTCAAAGAAAGGTAATGAAACATTGAGTGCCAATCCAATGACTGAACAGCATGCTGGTTGTTCCAAGAAGAAACTTCGAAAGGTGATATCAGGATTTAGGTACATCAAGAATTACAGTTACATACAGATCTACAAGCACTAGCAGTAACTGAAAAAAGACATACAGAATTGTAAACTGATCTTACAGCTTACATGATTATCACATCCCCAGTTGATGCAACGATAGAATCGACCACCTGGCATCCGGCACTAGCTTTGGTGCCTCAATATTGTTCGCTTACCACTCATTATGCCTCTGGTCCGTCCATAGCAAGGCTACATATATATATCATCAATGAGCCTGACGAAACATTTCCACAATCCAATTGGTGATCAGCATCAGCTACATAGTGTCTAAATCATCCTTGTTATAGGCCAGTGGGAACTCATCGAACTGCTCCGTGACATCACGACCCTCTCCGATGCCCTTCAGAGCGTGGTAAACCCGATACATGGAATGCCTCTCCCTCACGCGAGGCTGGGTACAAGCAAAAGCTATCTTCAAGAACTCCTCAATCTCTGCCTGATGGCCCTTTCCACGCAATGGTTTATCAACAACGTCACTGATCCGACCAGAAGCCTTGAGCTGATTAACCCAGTCCACCAATGTCCCCTTGAATCCTTCACCAGTCACGTCAGTAACCACAGCAGCAGCCTCCTGCCCACTAACAAGCTCAAACAATATCACCCCAAATGCATATGCATCGCCTTTCATCGTACCAACTGGATTGCTAGCATACTCGGGAGCAACATAGCCAAACTCCCCAAAGTCCCCATTCAGGAAAGGACTAGTATCCCCGCCTTCGCCGGGTGCCATCCGGACCAGCCTCGTGAGCCCAACATCGGTGATCCGAGCCTCATAATCCTCATCAAGAAGCACTGCACTCGAGCTCAAATTCTGGTGAATCTGCGGAACCTGGAACCCATGGTGCAGCCACGCAAGCCCCCTTGCTGCCCCAACGGCGATCCTAAGTCGTGTTGCCCAATCCAGCGGCACTTCCCCTGGCTTCTTCATCACCGACGAAAGAGCCCCACTCTCCATATGCTTATACACCAGCAGCCTCTCATCCTCGACAACACAGAAGCCCAGCAGTGGCACGATGTTGGGATGCCGCAGCTGCCCAATCCGACCCATCTCTGCCCTGAACGCCTTCTCCGAGAGTGGGCACGAGTGCAGGCGCTTGACCGTCAGCGCAGACCCGTCCCGTAGCACGGCTCGGTAAGCCGTCCCCGCCCGCGAGCTCCCGGCGACCACGATGTGGCTGGTGCTGAAGTCCTGCGTGGCCGCCATCAGGTCAGCCAGCTTGACCTTGACGATGGGCTTCTGGAACAGCGAGACCGGGGCCAGGCGGTTGTGCGCCGCCCGCAGCCTCTCGGTCCACCAGCTCCCGTCTTCCCCGCCGCCGGACTCGCTGGCGCCGCGCCTGTGGCGGCGGTGCCCTCCCTTGCCCTTCCCGGTGCACCGCCAGAAGAAGTAGGCGAGGAGCAACGACGCGGCGGCTCCGAAGACTCCCGCGGCGATGACGATGCCAAGGCCGGTGCTCCCCAGCCCGCGGCCGCAGCGCGAGGACACGGGGCGGCCGCAGAGCCCCGAGTTCCCCGAGAACGAGTCCTTGGAGAAGTTGTCGCCGAGCTGGGGCGGGATCTGGCCGTCGAGCTTGTTCCCCGAGAGGTCGAGCGTCTTGAGGCGGTCGAGCCGCGCGAGGGAGACGGGGATCTGGCCGGAGAGCTGGTTCCTGGAGAGCCTGAGCGTGTTGAGGAAGCGGCAGTTGGCGAGCTCGGCGGGGATCGGGCCGGTGAGTTGGTTGGAGGAGAGGTCGAGGGTGACGAGGAAGGGGAGCCAGTCGCAAAGCGCCGGCAGGATCGTGCCGGCGAGCGCGTTGCTGGAGAGGTCGAGCGTGGTGGCGGCGCGGCAGTACTGGAGCGAGGAGGGGATGGAGCCGACGAGGCCGAACCCGGAGAGCGACAGCGAGAGGACGCGGGACTCCTGCGTGTTCCAGCAGCCGATGCCGTTGTAGTTGCAGACGGCGCCCCCCGAGGTGTTCTTGAAGTCCCAGTCGGCGAGGCTGCCGTTGGGGTCGGAGAGGTCGTGCTTGACGCCCTTGAGGCAGCGCAGGTCGTCCTCCTGCGGCTCCGCCGCCGATCCCGGCGCGGGCTGCGGCGCCGCCGGAGGGGCGACGAGGAGGAGGAGGAGGATCGGGGGCAGGAGGCGGGGAGGAGGCATGGCGGACGGATGCACGCGGATTGGGGCGTGGTGGTGTGTGTGGGTGAGCGGTTTGACCAGGTGGGAGACTGCGTGCTTGTTGCGGCCGGGGTGGTGGTGGTGGAGTGGATGGATGGGGAGGGCAGGGGAGCAGGCGGGCAGCGAGGGACGGAGGAGTAGTAGTATACCGGTGCGCCGTGGCGTGGTGCGGCGTGTGCGCTGCGCGCTGGGCTCTACTAGTGGGGTTGGTCTGGGGTGGGACGGGTCGTGCGTGGACTGCGCAGTGGGGGACGGCGCGACGGAAATGAAATGGTTGCCTGATTGGGCTGGGTGAGGGCGTGATGGGCATGGGATCATCGGCTGGGCCGCGCAGGCTGCCAGGACACGGCAGGCTTGGTCGCCTGAATGAGGTGAATAGGGGAATTCAACTCATTTTTTTCGGACATTAGATGGCGAGGATTTGGCAGGCAAACGTTTGCTGAGAAAATTGATACCGATTCTCAAGCGAAACGTATTTGGTAGGGATCTCGTGTTCCTCTCAAGAAAAAGTTTCCATTTGGTTGGGATTTTGTTATTTCTAGATAGATACGGCCTGTAGAATGCCAACCAAATGCAAATCATCCAAAAAAAATACACAAAACGCCATCGAGGATAGATTAAACACGAGGAAATTGCTGGGGCCAAAGAATATGGTTTTAGATCATTATGGTTTGTTTCCTAGACCTAGGTGCTTCATTGAGTGGTACAGCCAAATGTTATTGTTGGATAAGTGGTTCTATATTTTTCATAACACAAATGTCTGATGTATAGTAACTCCCCTCTATATAACTTTTTTCCGTATAATATAAAAATCGCTGGTACTCCTAGATCTATGTTTCATTTGCTAATTGTTAGATTAGTTGCTTCCCCGTTTCCTAGGACCGGAAAATGGGGGTCCAATGGCGACTGATCCGCCGCTAAGCGTAATTTTTAGATTTAGCCTTTACCCCCCCCTTCTTTTTTCCCCACACACTTAAACCTTTCACTTTCAAGTTATTTCTTTAATTAAGATCTTATTTGTATGGAAAATATTGGTAGCTAGTGACATTTTGAAGTTCTTAAAATATTAAAATAATTTACTAATAAAATTACTTAGTACTATCTCCATTTCAAATTGTAAGATGTTTTATTATTTTTCTAAATACATTGTTTTTATTATGAATTTGGATATAACTAGTAAATATGCCCGTGCGTTGCAACGGGAAAAATTTATCAAATATGGAACGACAATGTATGCTATATATCTATTTATGTTTTAAAAGCTATAATTATGTTATGATGAATATGACATCTATGACATATGTTAATGTTGTTAATAATATGACAATGTCCTATTAAAATACATCTTTGGTATATATATTTTTTTCTTGTTGCAGAATGTAGAAATATTTACTTATAAATATACTATATAACATTAATTTTCATGCTAGCCTACTGTTTCGGTTGATGTAAGTTTTAATAAGAACAATTTTTTTTTCTAATTATTGTAAGTACATCAACAACTTGGTAGAGTAGCAATCTTTTGTTTCTTAGGGATTAGAAAAGCATCAACGGTTAAAGGTCCATAGTGTTACATTTATTAATTATCTGTTTTTCACGTTTATTAGAAAATAAGAAATCACAACTAAGGTACTTCGGAGAGAGAAAAACTACAACAGAGGCACGGACACATACGTAGGACGGTAGGAAGACCAAGAGAATAAAAATCCGTATCGCAGATGGACACAGCCAAACACAGGCAAAATATACGCTACACGCCGGCACCTAAGGATGAAAATGGAACGGAAATATCCCGAACCGAACCGCATCATTTTCTATATTTAATCCGATCGAATCCGCATTTTCTTGTCCGACTTTGCCAGATTTGAGACAGATTTCAAATGTAAAGTTGCGGTTTACATTTTTTCGACCGTTTTCTACTTTTCACTACTTTTAATTTGAAATATTCGAATTCAAAATTCGGTTTAAACCGAATTTGGCTAATCGCACAGTCATCTGACCCAATTATGTGCTGCACACCACGCAGCCTTTTCTTTGGTGGCCCCTTTCAGCTGCCTCTTATAGAAAATTATGTATTTGGTCATGCACTTGTTTAATGCTATGCTCTTGAACTAGATCATGCACTTGTTAATTGTGAAGTTGTTATGTATTTGGTCGTGCACTTGTTTAATGCTATGCAATGTGGGTCGGTATTTCGTATTGAATTTTCGCATACCGTTCGACATAATTCGACATAATTCCTTCGAATTGTTTCGTTTCGAAATTCTAGTGTAAGTTCGTGTTCGCTTGTCGCTTGTTCGCGCCGCCGCTTTTCAGATTTGAAATGTAAAAGTAGAAAACGGTTGAGGAGTTTTTCGACCGAGTTCGACCGTTTTCATCCTTACCGGCACCACACCGCCTGTGACTCGACGGCTCAATGCCATCGTCTCGTAATGCCACCTGGACTTGTAAACTTGCGTCCTTGTTTGTTGCTGGTTCGGCCTACCACACGCAGCCTTTAAAGGCCCCTTTCACTTGTCTGAAAAAAAAAGAAACAAAAACACTGTAGCTACCGGTTGTGTGAGAGAGAAACACTGTTCCGGCTGAAACCAGCTGAAAGTGCTACGGTAACCCCGTGAGACACTTCCAGCCGATCCATCTGCCGCCGCGTGAACGGGGCCAAAATAGTGTCACCACTCGGCACTCGCGGGCTCTCGGCGTTCCAGGCTGACAAACGACCGGTTCTTAGGCCTTTTTTAGTCGACGATTTTTTTAAACGGTACTGTAGCACTTTCGTTGTTATTTGGCAATTAGTGTCTAATCATAGTTTAATTAGGCTTAAAAGATTCGTCTCGTGAATTTCGTCTAAACTATGTAATTAGTTTTATTTTTTATTTATATTTAATGCTTCGTGCACGCGTCAAAGATTCGATGTGACGAGGAAATCTTAAAAAATTTTGTAAAATTTTGGAAACTAAACGGGCACTTAGACAAACTCACAAACACAATGGAAGCTTCTACCGGCTGAAGCCCCTGTCGTCGTCACAATGGAAGAGCTGCCCCAGCCCTCGAGGATCCTGCAGCCGCGACATTGAGCGACAGTGTTCACCATGTCTGGCTTGGTGGAGTTCGTGTGTAGTGTAGTTGATGCAGGTCAACAGGAGCAAGATGCACAAGAAAGCCTAGGCATCGGTGAAGAATCCATGCTCGGCTCAGCGATCGCCATGAGGCGTCCTGGAGGTGTCGAGCGTGGTCAGCAGATGAGCTGACGCTGTTGCTTCTGCCGCGCCATGGCGGCACCCGATGTCGATCAAACCAAACTCCAGAGGCAGGGATCTGAAATTGGACTTGATGAACACCATGATCCGTGGGATTATATTAGGGATGCACTAATATATGGACGAGCAATTTTGAATTGAAGCAGATAAAAAAACAAAACGGATCGACGCAGGTACGTGTGGGCGTCAACACATATCATCGACAAATTAAAGAAAAGCACGGGAAAAGAAAAATTAAAAAAACATGGTTGGTGGCCTCAATTTGGTACCTGATTTGGTCTTAAATATTTTCGATTCCTTGTAGATTTGGTCAGTAAGATAAGATTTTGCCTAATTTGTACTTGTATATCTTTTTCTATTTGGGTTGTTCTTATTTAGCTTTGGAGAGGTTTTGTTGCAACTTGAGTGAGTTGGGTTGGTATACGACGTACAGTGCCTTAGTTTCCAAAACAAACACAAAAGGAATCTGATCAGAACATCGTGTATTTGGATTAGAATTTCTAGTTATATTCAGGTTATTTGAAGATGACATACATATATGTCCAATATATATATAACGCGAGAGCTATAGATAGACCCGAAGAGAGAATTTTCACATTTACGGAGTCAGTTAGGGGGAGGTGGACGAAAATAATGGATGGACGAAATTATTTGTCTCTTTATTATTAGGTATAGATGTATATCTAAGTGCATAACAAATGTTGTGTATCTAGGAAACTTTTATAGCTGGCTAAAGTTTTACTTTCAAATTTTAGCTAGCTAAATTTTAGTTGGTGCATCTAAACAGGCCTGGTTGAACATACAGTGAAAATGTCATTTTCCATGCCGTATGAATCAAGTAAAGAATCGATATGCAATGCTTTCGGCAACATATGATCATTTCTTTAAGTGAAGTTGTTTTAGCAAAATCACACAAAATATTTATTATATATCAGTATTTGGCAAATGGAGCCTCCAATTCCCGGGGAGGGATGACCCTGATCAAAACACGTGAACACGGCCTGCCTTGCACAAAAGGCGCTCTGATCATATCCAGAACAGACCCAAGGTCCCGTCTGCAACCTCTCCGGGACAGTGAAGCACTGAAGCAGCGGCGCTCACGTTGTTCAAACGGTGGCACTGCGGTAGGTTTAGGCGCGAGTGCGGCTTGTGCTAACATTGAAGTTCGTTTTGGTACTCAGGACTCTCGTTACCGTAGCCATGTTGCATTGAGAGTGTAACGGAAGGGCTAGCGTCTACATGTCCGGTCGCAGGACTTGTTCGGTTGTTGCTTCCGTACTTACGTCCGCATCTCATTCCACGCCCCCATGCCCCGCACTCGGCATCATTAAAACCTGCAACGCCAATGTACTCTTGAAACGGAGCAACACCTCGGTGACCCCACTCCAACGCCAACACTGAGACGAGTGGAGGGAATGGAAGGAAGGGGGGCAAGAGGAGAGGAGAGGGCGAGGCGCGCCGTGCGAGCTAGGAGCTGAAGCCCTGCGGCAGGCCACTATCCGTCAGCTACCGGCACCATTGAAATATGTGCAACATCCAATCTACTCTTGAAACATCTAGATGCAACACTTATAACATACATTTGAAGACAGATGAACATTTGAAACATGTGTCTGAAACACACACTTGCAGAAACACCCGAAAACACACGAAAAGCCATTGTAAAACAGACGCAACATCTGGATAAAACACTTATAACCTACATATAAAACATATGCAACGTTC